TTGGCGATGTTTATCACAACAACGAGTGTTACTCTACGATCCTGGTTTTGCTGGTAAGGTTGTAAATGCGGCTCAACCTTGCATAATATCCGTTTGCGCGAGCAAATAAATGAAGTCGATAATAATATAATATTAGAAGTAGAAACACATGTACATGCAGACGGTACCGACTATAATTCAAATTCGGTATCTTCGATGGGAAAACGTGTCCAAGACCGATTAATTACTAATTTTTTCTCCTAAATACTTTTGTTTTTTGGGCATTTCATCTAAAATTATAAACGTCTCGTAACCACGTAAACTTAATTAATTTTGAATCGTAAACCAGTTTATTTACAAGTTACGAGGCATTTATGATTTTAGATGAATACCCATTTTATTTTATATTTACATGTTTATCTTCGCACTAGTTTTGTCTTCTTAATACTTAAAGTTTTTTCTTTTAAATTTACTTACAATCACTCACAGAAGTATTCGTATTATAGTTTTTCATAATATTAAAAATATTTTGAATATTGAACTATTTTTGCAAATTTGTATTCAAAATATACCTCATTCTATAAAAAAAAACCTTAGGAATCAATCTTGTTAACTTTGTACAATGTTCACAGAAATTTATCAAACTTAAAAAAACGTTCATCAAAATTTCAAACTCTATTCAGAATCTTTAGAAAATTTTCGAGTGTGTAGTTTTGTAGCCCATTCAATTTCAGTAGGGTAAAATTCAAGTTTGATGTCGCTACAAAATACCGTTCATATTTGAGATTTTTTTTCGAGGGTGTTTAGCATTTTCAGCATTTGAAAAAAAAAATCTATTTTTACATGAAAAAAAAATCGTAGAATTTTCCTTATTTTTTTTAATTAATTTTTAATCGCATTTTATAAAATAACTTCAAGTACGCAGTTTTATAGCGCATTAAATTAAAAATCAACGCGATTTCGTAGCAACCTCATTTTTACACATTATTATACTAAAATTTAAGTGTTGATTAAGCGCAGAACAGAAGAGACATGTATCTTCTCTTCTTCTTTTTTGGCGCAGTAACCGCCTAAGCGATTTTGGCCGAGTTCAGCAAAGCACGCCAGTCGTTTCTCCTCTGTGCCAACTGACGCCAATTGGAAACGCCAAGTGAAGCCAAGTCCTTCTCCACCTGATCTTTCCATCGCAGTGGGGGCCTCCCTCTTCCTCTGCTACCACCAGCGGGTTCCGAGTTGAATAGTTTCAGAGCTGGAGCGTCGGTGTCCATTCGAACGACATGACCAAGCCAGCGGAGCCGCTGTATTTTAATTCGCTGCACTATGTCTATATCGTTGTAAAGCTCATACAGCTCATCGTTCCATCGTCTGCGGTACTCGCCGTCGCCCACGCGTAAAGGACCGTAAATCTTCCGCCTCATCGGATGTTGTCATTGTCCATGCTTCTGCGCCATATACCAGCACGGGCATGATGAGTGACTTATAGAGCGTGGTTTTCGTACGTCGAGAGAGGACTTTACTCCTGAATTGCCTACTCAGTCCAAAGTAGCACTTGTTGGCAAGAGTGATTCTACGTTGGATTTCAATGCTGACATTATTATCGGTGTTAATGCTGGTTCCCAAGTAAACGAAATTCTCTACTTTCTCGAAATTGTAACTGTCAACAGTGACGTGGTTGCCAAGGCGCGAATGTGCTGACTGTTTGTTTGATGACAGGAGATACTTCGTCTGGTCCTCGTTTACCACCAGACCCATGCGCCTTGCTTCCCCATCCAACTTGGAAAAGGCAGAACAGACTTCGAGGTTTTTGTTACCGATGATGTCGATGTCATCGGCATAAGCCAGCAATTGCACGCTCTTGTAGTAAATTGTTCCTGAGCGGTTCAGTTCTGCAGCTCTTATTATCTTCTCCAACATCCATGCCAAATTCAGACATAGCGGCGTATAGGCAACTCCTTTTAGTGCTGTCAAAAGCGGCTTTAAAGTCGACAAATAGGTGGTGAGTGTCGATCCTTTTCTCGCGGGTCTTTTCCAAGATTTGGCGTATTGTGAATACCTGGTCTATGATGGGCGTGAACCGGGGGACAAGGTGTCGAAGTCTCCGCCCAACCACAAATCCGACACCAAATTTGTGCGCCGTCTCATGGCAGCTGTAGTAGATGTCACATGCTGCAAATTTTTTGCAGCCATGCCCCGTCCATCGCATTTCATGAACTGCGGTGATGTCAGCCTGGTATTTTGTTAGTACATCCAGCAGTTGGATAGAGGCACCGGTCCGGACATTCCAGGTGCGTATATCGACTTCGCCGCGGCACGGAACATGGTAGTCAGACAGTACCAGACACCAGCATGGAAAGATCCACAAAGAAACTTGGGTGTCCCCTGATCAATGAACAAAGAACCGAATTGATCATGTTGTGATAGATGGAAGATACGCTTCGAGCGTTCTTGACGTGCGCTCTATCCGAGGTGCCAACATCGACTCGGATCACTACCTTGTTGCAGCTAAGGTCCGCATGCGCCTCTGTGCAATAAAAAACGTGCGGCAGGCAACGCGACGAAAGTTCGACATCGCAAAGCTGCAGTCACAATGGACAGCCGAAAAATTTAGCAACCGACTCTCAATCCTGCTTAATCAAGCAACTCCTTATCGCCTGGACATAAATGAGCAGTGGGACTCCATATCCCAGTCCCTTCGCACCGCTGCGGAAGAGGTTGTTGGTTACTACAAACCGCGCAGAAACAACTGGTACGAAGAAGAGTGCCGCGCGGCTGCTGCAGAAAAATACGCAGCATACAAAGCTACCCTTCAGCCAATGGCGACACGCGCGATTATTGAGTGTTACCGCGAGAAAAGGAGGGAAGAGGGACGCCTTTTCAAGAGAAAGAAAAGAGAGGCAGAAAGGCGTGAGTGCGAAGAGCTTGAGATGCTGGCAGACAGGAACGCGGCTCGGAAATTCTATCAGAAAATAAGGCAGCAATCAAATGGTTTTAAGACCGGGGCTAGCTCCTGCAAAGATGAAGATGGAAACCTGGTAACAGATGTCCATAGTACACTTGAGATATGGAGGGAACACTTTTCATTGCTTTTAAATGGCGAAACAGATGGCGCGTTTGATGAATTAGAACCCGAACCAATGTATAGGGACGAAGCTCACGTCCCTCAACTGGACGAAGCCGAGGTGAGAACAGAAATAAAGCGGCTTAAGAACAACAAAGCCCCCGGAGCCGACGGTATACCGGCAGAGCTGTTCAAAGCCGGTGGCGAAGAGTTGGTGGGGCGTATGTACCAGCTTTTAAGCAGAATTTGGTCTGATGAATACATGCCCGAAGAATGGAATCTCAGTGTACTTTGCTAAATCCACAAGAAGGGAGATCCCGCCGTTTGCGCCAATTATCGCGGAATAAGCCTTCTTAATATTGCATACAAGGTCCTGTTGACGATACTGTGTGAAAGACTGAAGCCGTTCACGAGCCAGCTGATTGGACCTTATCAGTGTGGCTTCAGACCTGGTAAGTCCACCATTGACCAGATTTTCACAGCACGTCTAATCCTGGGGAAGACACTAGATAAGCAAATCGACACACACCATATTTTTGTTGACTTTAAAGCTGCGTTTGATAGCACGAAGAGGAGCAGCCTGTACGACGCCATGTCCAAATTTGGGATCCCCGCAAAACTAATACGGCTATGTAGAGTGACGTTGAGCACAACCTTCAGCTCCGTCCAAATTAGGAAGGACCTCTCCGCGCCGTTTGAGACCAAACGAGGTTTTAGACAAGGCGATTCACTCTCGTGCGACTTTTTCAATCTGATGCTGGAAAGCGTAATAAGAGCTGCCAGTCTGAATCGCAGCGGCACCATATATAGCAAAAGAACGATGCTGCTGGCTTATGCAGATGATATCGATATCGTATGTCTGAAACAAAGGGACGTAACCGCAGCATTTTCCAGTTTAGAAAAAGAAGCTAAAGAGGTTGGTCTAGCGGTGAACGAGGGAAAGACAAAGTAAATCCTGGCAACAAATAAAGAGTCCACGCGCTACGGGACACACGTCACTGTTGGCAGATATAACTTTGAAGTAGTGAAGGACTTTGTCTACCTAGGATCCAGCATAAACACCACCAACAACGTCAGCCTGGAGATCAAGCGAAGAATAACTCTTGCCAACAGGTGCTACTTTGGGCTCGGTAGGCAATTGAAAAGCAGAGCCCTCTCTCGACGAACGAAACTCACGCTCTACAAATCTCTCATCATGCCCGTCCTTTTATATGGCGCAGAATCTTGGACGATGTCGAACAAAGATGAGAAGGCTTTGGGGGCTTTCGAGAGAACTATTCTACGCAAAATCTACGGCCCTGTTTTCGTGGATGGCGGATATCGGAGAAGATGGAATGAGGAACTGTATGAGCTTTTTAACGACATGGACATAGTTAAGCGCATAAAAATACAGCGATTGCGTTGGTTTGGACATGTTGTACGCATGGATGACGACTCTCCGGTGAAAAGATCCTTCGACTCCGCACCCATGGGTGGACAACCAAGTGCAGAAGGACCTGTCTGCGCTCGGGATAACCAACTGGCGCAAATTCGCGCAGGAGAGAAGCAATTGGAAAAGCTTTTTGGTCTCGGCCCAAACCGACAAACGGTTGTAGTGCCAAATAAGAAGAAGAAGATTTGCACGAAAATGAAAATGTATATATGTATGCACAATTTCTATGTATTGATTTCAACGGAATGAGGAATCTGTTTTTTGCAAAAGGCGCACAAAAGTTTTTTCTAACCTCTGAATGTTTGAATGCGATATATGTATGCATATTGTAATTACCGTGGGAATAAATATATATCACTAAGGAATAAAGGCTTACTTACGGTTTACCAAGGGAATTTCTAATTCTTAATGGTTCAGGTTTTGCTGGCGCAGAAGGACCAAATGGAAGCTTGACAGGCTTCCTCCTTTGAACGGAGTGGGGTAGGTGGCGGAATGGGCTTCCT